AGAATTATTATGAGAGGTAACAACTGTAGGTAGGAAGATTTTGACAGAGGAAATATCAAGAACAAGACAAATGCTTGTAGCATATCAATAGTAGGAGTATAGGAGTACTTCCTTTGCTCAATAGTTAGGCGACTCGAATTGAGCCAATTATTATGCGACACACTTCTGCGCTTTCAGGTACGTTAATATAAGAAAAACAAATATCAGGACTGGCCACTTGTACAAGGGAAGACTTGGTGACTGTGGCCGTTCTTGATGTTATTTGGATTGTTGAACTCGTAACGCTGATTTGACTCTGCTCTTAAGCTCTCTTTGAAAAGATTATGTTTATAGGTTAAATTTATGTAGTTATTACCCCTTATTTGGTGGATTCAGCATTAAAGAGCATAAGTTTGGATAAGCTTGGTCAAATACTTTTAACTCTGAGAAGATGATCAGGACTGTCTCAATCATGCAAAGTCAATGCAATTGAAACTTGTAAAGAGCCGATAGAAAGAAGGATCTTGCATCAGGTTTTTTAGTGCGGTATATGCCTCATCACACAAGACCACTGCCACCAAGTATCTTTCCTCATAAGACAGGTCCAAAATCTACACAGCTTCTAATGGTTTGGTACTGTCCATTCCTGGAAAATCACCACCACGGGCCGATCGTTCTCCTTCCAGTGGGTCCATTGCGATGAGGAGTACGTCGCTGACAAAACGGACTGGTTGGAGCGAGCTACGGTCTTGAAGGGGCTCATGCCGGCCCTGAAGACACAAGTCAAGTACATTAGCTGCAGTGAAAATAACTCACCCTACACACTGCTGGATGAGTCTCGTCTCAACAGCCCCTCCAAGGCCTTTCCGACGATGTTCAGGGAAGACGTACTGATTGTTGAAGAATCCAGCTGGATCCACCATTTCAAAAGCCACGGGAGTTCCATTGTAGCGAATGCAAGCAGATGGCAAACGAGCCAACTTCGCGCTAAAGAATCCTTTTCAGGCTCGTCACACAAAGTATAGGTTGCTGCATGACGAAGGCGCAATATCTTCGTACGCGAACGCGGCTTTATTAGCCACAGGGCGCAAGAGGCGCAGGATTTACAATGGTGAGAATATGCGCGCGTCGCGTTCGCGTCCGCTCAACTAATACTGCTCCTGCGCCTTCGCCATGCAGTAGCCTTAAAATTGGACACAGGAATCCTTACATGGTTTGTTCGAGATCACCTTCCTTGGCGTGTTGCCATGTGTTGTTTATCAGCTCACCCTCAGAAAATGGGTCTACCTGAATGAAATTCATGCGGACGCGTCATGATGCTGTCGAACTCGTTCACAATTCTCAGCTGCAGATTTTCTCAACTCAGAATGCATAAACTCTCTTCAGTTTGCATGCAGATCAATTATTCTTATATTGTTGAATTTTGAGCACCTCGTCGAAGTAGTAGCCGTCAGGTAAAGCAGGATCTGCTTCTTTTCCGTTGCGTGCATGCCGACACTGTT